TTTCTGGAATGTAATATAAACAGAATCTTTTGGGGATGACTTTTCCCTTAGCAAAATGCATTTAAAATCCATCCATGTTATAGTGTGAATCAATAGCTCACTTCTTTTTATTGTCAAATGATTTTCATTGTATGGATACCACAGTGTGTTCATCCATTCATCTGTTGAAAGACATCTTGGTGACTTCACTTTGGGGTAGTTATGCATAAAGCTGCTATACATATTTTTGTGTGAACGTAAGTTTCAAATCAGTTGGCTAAATAGCTAGGAGCACAGTTTGCCATATTAAAGCTCAGTAAATAGTTACAAAGTAAACACACTCATCAGCTAGCACCAGCAACAGAACAGCCCTCACCCAGTTATACATTCCCTCCTCCACAAAAGTCACAATTATCTTCACTTCTGTTGCCACACATTAATTTTGCCTGGGTTCAAGCTTTGAATGGATCAACTGATATGTTCTTCTTTGTGTCTGGCTTCTTTAGCTAAGTATCCTCTATGTTGGTGCATGTGTTGGTTATTTTCATTGTTCTATATAGTTCCATTGCAAATATATATTACAGTTTTGTCTTTAGGTTTTTGCTGGTGGATGTCTGGGTTTTTCCCAGTTTGGATAATGCTATGAACATTTCTTTCTTTCTTTTTTTTTTTTTTTTTTTAGAAGGAGTCTCATTCTGTTGCCAGGCTGGAGTGCAGTGGCGCAATCTTGGCTCACTGCAACCTCCACCTCCCAGGTTCAAGTGATCCTCCTGCCTTGGCCTCCCAAGTAGCTGGGACTACAGGTGCGTGCCACCAAGCCCAGCTAATTTTTTGTATGTTTAGTAGGGATGGGGTTTCATCATGTTGGCCAGGATGATCTCCATCTCTTGACCTCGTGATCCACCCTCCTTGATCACCCAAAGTGCTGTGATTACAGGCATGAGCCACCACACCCGGCCAAACATTCTTATATGCCTTTCTGTATCTACTTCTGTTGCTGGCTCACTGGGTAAGTGCATGCTCAGTAATAATAGACATGCTGAATCATTTCCAAAGCATTTATACCAATTTAAATTACCAATAGTGCCTTATGTTTTAACAGGAGCCCTCTGGCTGCTTCATTGAGAACTGACTGTTCAAGGGCAAAGGTGGGAGCAGGGAGGCCAAGAGAAAGGTTTCACAGTCATCCATGTGTGATTGCATGGGGCACAGCCCAAAGGGGTAGCAGCGGAAGTAGTGACAAGTGGTTGGATTCTGGTTGTACTTCAAAGGTAGAGTCAACAGGAATTTTCTGATGGATTGGAAATGGAGGATAGAAAAAGCGAACAGACAAAGGTGTGTGGGAGGCATTTTGACTAATCATCTTTATGGATGGAATTGCCATCAACTGAGATCATAAGACTGCTGAGCAGTTGGTTTGAGAGGGAAGATCCTGAGTTCTGTTTGGCATATCACTTTGGAAATGTCTATTAAATATCCAAATGGATATGTCATGGAGGCAGCTGGAGTTCAGGTTAGAGGTCTGAGTCATTGATAAAACTTTGGGAGTTGTTGGCAAATGATAGTGTATTGGTCAGAGTCTAATTAGGAAAGAGAAGCCCCACAGTCATTTGAACAGGAAACGTGTATATAAAGAAGTGTTCATTGCAACAGGGAAGTGGAGTAACCAGGCACAGACTAGTAGGAAGTATAGAAGGAGCAACCACTAGTCTAGGGCTGAGGTAGAGAGCCCAGGAGAGTCCTCTCCTCTTAGTGCACCTCCCTTGCACCTCATCAGAGGAACCCAGTCATGGTCCTCTGCATGTCAGGAGAGTCACTGGTGCTATGTCACTGGAACTTACTAGAAATACTTCTTTAGGTGCTGGGGAAAGGAGCGGTGTCTCAGAAGAGTTACTCTATAACAAAACTGCCTGGAGCTGGTGGGAGGAGTGGGACCTGCTGGGCACTGGCCACTGGGTTTCTGGAGAAGACCCCCACCTGCAGGAGCCAGGCCAAGCAGCACAGGAGAACCAGGAACAAAGACTGCTTTCGCCTGCAAGGTCTCTCCATTGCTCTCTACTGACAAAACCTAACATCATGTCTGAGGGAAATATTTAAACAGCCCAGTTCAGTTTTTGCAGAGCAGGCAATGAAGAATGAGTTTATAGCAGAGATGCAATAAATTGATAACTGTATTAGTCCATTCTCTCACTGCTATGAAGAAGTACCTGAGACTAGGCAATTTATAAGAAAAGAGGTTTAATTGGCTCACTATTCTGCAGGCTGCACAGGAAACACGACAGCTTCTACGGAGGCCTCAGGAAACTTTCAATCGTGGTGGAAGCTGAAGGAGAAGCAGGCATATCTCACGTGGCTGGAGCAGGAGGAAGTGGGGGGCGGGGAGGTGCTACACACTTTTGAACAACCAGATCTTGTGCGAACTCTATCACGAGAACAGCACTAGAGGAATGGTGCTAAACCATTCATGAAGACTCTGCTCCCATGATCCAATCGCCTCCCACCAGGCCCCACCTCTAACATTGGGGATTACAATTCCACATGAAATTTGGGCAGGGACAGACCCAATACATAACAATTACTGACACAGATGGAATATAAAACTGAGACAGAATGAGATCATCCAGGGAATAAGTATAGACACAGAAGAAAAGAAAACTGAAGCCCGAAACCTATGGCCTTGCTCTAATTTAAACAGGTGAGAGCAGGGGAACCAGCAAAGGCAGCTGAGAAAGAGCATCCAGGGCTGCAGGTGGAGTCCTGTGAGACAAGTGAATCAAAGAGAATAGGAGAGGGGCCAGAGTATGTATTGACCGTTCTTTTATGAAGTTTTGCTGCAAAAGGGAACGTAGAAAAGGTGCAGGTCCTGGTATAGGAAATAGGGTCGAGTAATTTCTGTGTTTTGAAGATGACAGAAATAGCTGCATGTTGTGTGATGATGAGAAGAGTCCAGTAGAAAGGAAAATACTGCTGATGTTAGAGAAAGGATAGGCTGGCTGGAGTGACACCCTGGAGCAGTAAGAGATGATGGGATTTAGCAGTCCAGTGCAGGATTCTTTGGCTGGACATAGCGGTTGTTCATCCACAGTCACAGGCAGGCAATAGGAGGCAGATGGGTGGAGGTGGAGGTGGGAGTCTGTGGAAGACTTTGACCACTTCTATTCTCTTAGTAAAGCAGGAGGCAAGGAAGGGAGAGGCAGTGGGAAGGATTGAACAGAGAGAAGGAAGTGTGAAATATTCACTTGGAACAATGGGAGATTGAATAGACCAGGCAAAGAATGATTAAAGTGAGGACTGCTGGCATGGTCCTGTTTTCCTCCAGCCATGTTTAGTTGCATTGTTGTGGCATGGAATAGATGGAGAGCTGAGTTTATCCAGCGCCCCCATCTTACCAAGCAGATAGAAGGTGACAGGGAGGTGCATGAGTTAAGGAGGTGTGCAAGGGATTAATGAGAATGGTTGGCCATGGAGTTTAAGCTGGCTCACTAGAGAGGGCCATAAAGGAAGGAAGAAACAGTGAACAGGTAGTAAGATCTGGATTGGAGGTGCTGGTAAGGTTGCAGGAGTTTTGTTTCAGGGCGGTATAGGGAGTGACCTGGATAGACAGGAGGTGGTGATCAGAGTGGGATACTGTGGGGGTTGCAGTCCTTGACCTGACAAGGTCTAAGGTCTGATCATGGAGGGAGGGGGAAGCTAAGGTAGGGCAGAGGACTGGAGTGGGCTTCATGAGACCAAAATGACGTTGGAAGGATTATCTACCTGGATACTGAAATCTTCAAGAAGTAAGCGGTGTAGTGTGAAGAAGTTACAATATTCTAAGCTCTTCACGGATAAGGGAAGCATGTGCCACGTAGGTAGCCTCTCTAGTCCAGCACCCAGTATATAGCATATGCGGAGTGAATACCTGGGGGCTGCTGAAGGCCAGAACAAGGTGCCTGTGAGAGGACCTGATGCCTGGGGTTCTCGTGACAGGAGTGGGCCTAGTTTCTGGTGTAGAATTGAGCCTTGAATGCACCAGCGGGATCATATTGAAAAGAAACCTTCTAAGACTACAGGAAGATGCATCCTCTGACAATGTACGCTCTGTAGGCATCCCAAGTAGCTGGGCTGGGGATTAGATGGACTCCAAGGCATTTCCTCAGGTGGCAATGGGCGGATCCCTGGGAAGGCAAAGCTGTGCAGGAAAAAAATGGCAAGATGCTCTATTCCCTCAGGGAAAGCCCTTTCCTGGGAGCAGGGAAGGCGAGGCAGTTTGGGCTTGGTCAGTTTGTCCCTGCCCTCAGGGTTTGTTGGTCCTGGCAAAAGAGGGCCTTATTTTATTTATTTTTCTTAGAGACAGTGTCTTGCTCTGTCACCCAGGCTGGAGTGCAGTGGCTCATCTCAGCTCACTGTAAACTCCACCTCCTGGGACCAAGCGATCCTCCCACCTCAGCCTCCAGAGTAACTGGGACCACAAGCACCACAGGCGCCCGGCACAACGCGGCTAATTTTTTTTTCTTTTTTTAGAAAGAGAGAGGTAGTCTCCCTATGTTGCCCAGCCTTGTCTTGAACTCCCGGGCTCAAGCGATCCTCCCGCCTCGGCCTCCCAAAGTGTAGGGATTACAGGCGTGAGACCCCGCGCCCTGCCAAAAGAGGGCTTTAGGGCACCCCAGAACGCGAGATCCCCCTCATCTCGCATCTTTAAAGAGGAGGAGGTGGACCCCAAATCGAGCGATAGTCCATTCGTCCCTGGTACGGTGACTGCCGGGAGGCCAAGACCAAATGTGTCTCCTTCCGGCTTTTGCACCACACTAACTAACAGGCGCCAGGCCGCAGAGCCGCCCTGGCCTTCGGCGAGGACTTAGGCGAGTGCGGTGCAGGCTGCTCCAGAGTCCCACCGCGGAAGTTGAGGCCACGGATTCCGAGGGCGGGGTGGAGCGGGTTCGGTAAGTACCCGGGCCCGATGAAACGCACTGCGTGGACTGCGCCTGCGTCCGCACTCAGCTTTTCAGCAGTCTTTCTTCAGGCCCTGAAAGCCGTCCCCACGCCGGTCTCTTTTTTCTGCCTTCTTGTCTCCCTCCGGCGAGTCGGCGCGACGGTGAATTTCCGTTTCCGGCGGTGTCCATGCTGAACTGAGGAGTCGCAGTTGCCAGGTTCAGTACAGCGGGCTGGGGTAGGCGGCGGGGGGGTCCCTGATTCTGGGGCACTGGGAGGATCGCGAGTCGTGCGCGTGGGAAGGTCCTTCCCCGGTCCTCCGTGTCATCTTTGCTCCCGAGGAGCGGCATATTTCTCATCTGCCGGAGGTGTCCTGTGGTAGTTGGGAGAGTGACCGGATGAATCCCTGCAGAGAGCCCGGACAGGGAGGGAAGGTGGCTGGGAGACGTAGTTTCCTGGCGACGTGGTCTCGGCAGGCGACTTAGACCTGAGCCGGATCTGTTGACCCGAAATTGTGCTTTTCCCACCAAAGAAGGACAGGGAGAGAAACATTAGTACAAGTTCCGAACTAAAATATAGCAGAGAAGAAACATAATCATTGAAATCACACAGCTCTTCAGTTTCAAAGCGTTCCTAGCGCCTAGCTCTTCTAACTCTCGGCCAGTGTTCTTGACATTATGGTGATATATAAAGACTTTCTGTTTCCGCTGGTGTGTGGGTCTGTGGGAAGCCTCTGACTCACCTCCGTGCTCCAGTAGCACCCTGTGCAGCCTTCCAATGTCGCCCTTATTGCATGGCGCGGAAGATACTAGTTTGGATTTCCTCTGCAAGTCAGACCATAGCTGTATCCATTTACTGGCACAGTGCCTAGCACATCATAGACAGACAAAATATTTATTAAACTGAATGAATACAGTACCTTAATTGAATGAAATAGTATCCTGCTCCCCCCCTTTTTTTTAAATCAAGCTGTCAGATTTTATGAAGCCCCATTTCCTAAAAAAAAACTCACTAATTTAGTGATTACCAATTTATTAGCCACAGATTCCCAGGTAACTCAGAAATCACTGGAAGGGTCTCTGTAAGTTCATGGGGTCTCCAGGTATCATCTAGAACCAGTCCTATCTCACAAGTTAATACTTGACAAGTTAATTATATATTGTCTGTTGTACTCTTTATAAAATGTGCTAAGATATATTGCTATTTCTCAAATGTATATAAGTAAGTTGTAATTTAGGAGTTTTACAGAGTCAACAGGTACTAAAAGTAATACTGCGATCATATTGGAAGTTCATAAAAACGTTTTACATTTTTTATTAAAATGTAAGTTTTAGTTTAAGTTGAGAAACCACTTCTTTACTCCAGTTGATACTTAGGTCTGAGCTGTCCGGTGTGGTAGCCACATGTGACTTTAGAGTTAGAATGAAATTAATTAAAAATTCATTTTTTCAGTTTCCCTAAGTATATTGTTAAGTAACCACATGTGGCTGATGGCTAAATGGCTGAAAAGTACAGATATAGAATATTTCTATCCTTGCAGAAATAGATACTGCTGATGTTGACACTTAAGATGAACAAAAAGTAACAGCAATAAAATGTAACTTTAGGAGAGGTAACTCATCTAATTTATAGCATAACAGAGAGAAATGAAATTGGCAATGGTTAAGCAATTTCTACCCTTGTTCAGTAAATAAATACATCATCTCTTCATAAAGAAATAAATGAAATGTACTGTTTTTCCCTGGGTATTGCCTGGATTGTAAAATGCTTCTCCCACCTCCTTACCCCAACCTTCTTCCTTGTAGGTTAGAGTTACTTGTTATTGGTAAATAGCTACAATGGAGACTAAAGACCAGAAGAAACACAGAAAGAAAAACAGTGGGCCCAAAGCTGAAAAGAAAAAGAAGCGGCATCTGCAGGATCTCCAGCTAGGAGACGAAGAAGATGCCCGGAAGAGAAATCCCAAAGCTTTTGCAGTTCAGTCTGCTGTGCGGATGGCTCGATCCTTTCACAGGTATGTTAGGGTACAGTCTGGTCGTTCTTCCATTGATTCTTTTTAAATAGTAGGAGCCTCTCACAGGTGACATTTGGATTCATGAGTCTAGTCCAGCTCCAAAGGACATGGAGATGCGTGGTGTGTGGCTTTCACTAAAACGTGAGAAGCTTTCCCATAGAAGCTGCCTTGCCTCCAGCATCTGCACACTGGTTGGTGTTTATTGCCCAAGATGCAAGAATTTATAGAATTTGTTTGTTCCTAAATTTTAAACTGTTTCTATGGTGATAAGTGTGCTTTTTTCCCCCAGGTATGTTTTACATAGTTGTAATATAAAATAAAAAATTACAATATTTAATACTAACATAGCTTTATTTAGTGTGTCCTTGTGATATGCCTAGCGGTATACTTTAAACATTATTCAACTAAATGCTTCCAGCAGCCTTACCAGAGTAGGAATCATTCTTGCCCTCATTTTATGGGTAAGAAAACTGAGGTCAAGAGAACAAGTTACCTCCAATCATGTAACCAGTAAGTAGGAGAGCCAAATTTAACTCCAGAGCCTCTGCTCTGTTATGATGCACTGCCTCGGTATTTACCTTTTGGTTTTTTTAAAAACTATTAAAATCACTCTTAAAACAGTCAGATTTAAGGAGTGTTTAATTTTCAGCTCTCTATGCTATTGAAGTCGTCTTGTTACATCTTTATTGAACAGCAGTTATTTGGATGGGGCCAGAAGTTAACAAGTTAATAACTGACAAGTTAATTATATATTGTCTGTTGTCCTCTCAATAAAACGTGCTAAAGTACTCATATATATAAATGTACTAAAAAAGTTTACTTATAAAGTTGATACCTTTTACTCTATTTTGAAAGTGAGTTTACTATTTATTTATTTATTTATTTATTTTTAATGAATAGGACTCAGGATTTGAAGACAAAAAAGCATCATATTCCAGTGGTTGATCGAACTCCACTGGAGCCCCCACCAATAGTGGTAGTGGTGATGGGGCCTCCAAAAGTTGGAAAGAGCACTTTGATACAATGCCTCATTCGGAACTTCACCCGGCAGAAGCTGACCGAGATCAGAGGCCCTGTGACAATTGTGTCAGGTAGGAGATGCTGCAACAGACACAGAGTTGGCGTGGCTGTTGTCATCTGAGGGACATGCATGCATTTGTTGTTTTCTTGAGCGGAACATGTTAAATATTGTCATATCATGTTACCTGTCTTATACTTTTACTAAGTTGGCTATAGCTTCAGAAAAGGATAAGTTCCCGGAGATAACTTACCCGGAGATAAGTTCCCGGAGATAACATATGTGATAATGTTCACATTGAAAATGTGCACGTTTGCCTTATGAAGCCACATTCTGGTGGAAGTGCGAGTTTTCTCTTTTTCCTATGAGAATTGTCTGCTTTGGGAGATGGTGACCTTTCCAAGTTTGAGGGAAAATGAAACAAACTTCCAGTGGTAGAATGGGAATGTGCAGTCTGAAATCTCTTGTTATTGCAATAGTATAGTTGGATTGAGGCTTTTCTTTATCTTTGGAGCATCCATATTTTCTTTTCCCTTTTTTGAGACAGAGTCTTACTCTGTGGCACAGGCTGGAATGCAGTGGTGTGGTTACAGCTCACTGCAGCCTCAACCTCCCAAGTTTAAGCAATCCTCCTACCTTAGCCTCCTGAGTAGTGTATGCCACCACACCTGGCTAAGTTTTCTTTTTTTCCCCTTTTTTTTTTTTTTTTTGTAGAGATGGGGTTTCCCCATGTGGCTCAGGCTGGTCTCAAAACTCCTGGGCTCAAGGGATCTGCCTGCCTTGGCCTCCCACTGCACCCAGCCCATATTTTCTTGACCATTTTCTTTTTACCTTAATTTAGAAATAATTATTGTTATGAATATTCTGTTGCATTATGTTTGAGGATGTTTGTAGCTATAGTGGGAATACGGGAAGTTTTGATAGAGGTAAAGACTTTGGCCTGCAGCTGAACAGCAGGATCATGGTTATCATGGAGCCTGTGCAGTCCGAATTTTCCCTGTTTGAGCACTTTTATTCATCTGGGTAGACTTTTGATATTATTTAAATTCAGAACACAGCAAGAAAAACAGAATGGAATTTATTTTATTTTACCAGTTTTTGCCTATAAAAACGAACTTCTGGTACACTCCTGTAAACTTACATGATGTTTTACTGGATGCAGTTAAAAAATGAAAATTAGAGTTGATGGTTAGAATTTTTTCAGGATCTTTTTAAAGTAAAATTTTCATCTTTTCACGTATAGGTAAAAAGCGCAGACTCACCATTATTGAATGCGGGTGTGATATTAACATGATGATTGATCTGGCTAAAGTAGCAGATCTGGTAAGTCAGCAGGGGCAGCCTGGGGTGCTGATGGAGACTTAGAGCATCGTGATAGGTTATTTATCCCTTGATGAAAGGAAGAGAGTCCTATGATTATTAAAGGAATCATAGTCATCATCAGTGATACAGTAGATATGATTGAATTGATGATAATAATTATGGTAATAAATATTGTTATATTAATAATAAAAATGGAATGTGCACAATGAAATGTATTCCAAAATGTAAAAGCAAATCACGGGATGGAGAAAACCTTTAATGAACACAACTAATAAGAGCTCATTAATATGTGTACATATATACATACAAATATATCATAGTAAGTACCATTTTTTCTTGGACTCTTCCTGGCACTGTGCTAACTGCTTTCTACAAATTTAGCTTACATAAATCCTTGATGCACCCTTGAGGTGAGTAGTTATTATCTGTAGTTTACATAAGATGAAATAGAGCCTCCCAGCAGTTAAATAACTTGTGTGAAGATGGGACCCTTGTTCCTGATGGTTCCAGAACCTTCATCCTTAATGATAATGCTAAAGTAAGTACATGAATTGCCCTGAAGAAGTGGTCAGAGTTTAGCAATAAAAAATCTAGACAGTACTCAGTATATGGAAAATGTACATACTCTTGCATTTATGGAAATGATAATGTTCACTGTTCTGGTATTCTATTAACTTACGTTTTAAATTAGAAAAAATAAAAACAAATTAGCAAAAAAGTAAGCCATATTGATGAGGAAGTGTGGGGTGAGAGATACCTTGGTTTTTTTTAGACAGCTGTTTGGTAACAAAGAGCTACAGATTTTATACTTTGGCCCAGGAATACTCCTAAAATATAAAATAAAAAGTAATACACATTTTAAAGTTGTGCCATTGTAATGTCAGAAAACTAAATAACATTCAAATTTTGAACATGTAATGCTACTATTAGTAAAAATAAGTGTTATTAATGTAGTGTAAGCTTACTAAATCTTATGTACTTGAAATGATCAAAATAGTTCATAGAAGTCATTTGTTTCTCTTTTATGTAAAATGTAGCAAGTTTCTAATATTAAAGACATACATATTAAGAGATGCCTTTAATTTTATTTTTAATGATTATGGATACATAATAGTTATACATATTTATGAGGTACATGTGGTATTTGATAGAAGCATACAATGTGTGATGATCAAATCAGGGTAATTAGGATATCCATCACCTCAAACATTTGTCATTTATTTGTGTTAGGAACATTTCAATTTCATTCTTGTAGTTATTCTGAGTTATATAATAAATTATAGTCCACCCTATTGTGCTGTTGGACACCAGAATTTATTCTGTCTAACTGTATTTTTGTACCTGTTAACCTTTCCCTCTTTGTCCCTCCCTCCCTGCTCCCCTTCCCAGCCTCTTAACCATCATTGAGAGAGATGCCTATTATGTAAATCTTTTAAAGATTTTTCAAAAGGAACACACACATTTGGTAAAGTACTCTAACTGTAATGCAGGATACGCACAATGTGCATTTTTCTTTTTCCTTGGTGTAACCGCTGGTCATTCAGATCCCTGCAGAGCAGTATCCTTCTAGATGCATATAAACACGCATACCACCCTTTAAAAACACAAATGGTAGCTTATTTTACACACTGTTCTATGCTTTGCTTTTTTCATATAATGTATCTTGGAGGTATATAATAAGTACTGTAACTCTGCCTCCTTTTTAATATAATATTCCATTTTATGGAGGCACCATGATTTATTTAGCCTAGCTTATGTTGATTGCTCTGCTGTGGGTTGTCAAAGCCTCCTGTGTACAGCAAAGGCACACACAATACATGAATTTGGGTGTGTACGTGCGTGTGTGGATTAGGGGAGTAACACTGGCTTAGATGACAAAGACTGGCAGCTGAGGGACTGTTTGTTCCCCGTTCTTCCTGACCTTACAACCAGCTGCTTGCCCCCTGGCACTCTGTGACATTAAATGTAGTGTGAGGATATTCTGCCTGTCCTTTGAGCTGGTCCAGTGTTGCTGGAACGCTGTGCTTGCTGCCTCAGTCTGCAGTGGCAGCTGTGCTTTCTCACAAGCCCACCTTCATATATTCTGTGGTTTCGGATTTTGAGTGTTTCCTAGTTTAATCAAAGATGGGCATTTCTGTTTCCATTTTTCTTTGTTGTTAATTTTAGTTATCTATGCAAAGATAAGAACAGAAATGTTTTTAATACTTAAACTAGAAGTTTCCAGGAATCAATTCTGAAATTATTTTGCATCTTTGAAGCATCTTAAAAGTTAAAAATTGGTCTCATCTGCTTATATTTTCTTACAGACTACCAATCATCATAATCTTACTGTTTTTTTTGACCTAATTCTAAAATGGCAGCTATTTAAAAAAAATTTCTTAACAATTGAGTTATCCAAATTAATATATAAGATAGAGGTTTCCACTGCATACTTCTCAGCAAAAAACAGATTTTTTTTTCTATGAGGAGATTGAAAGAAGAGATTGGTTTTCTGTACATATTTAATATATTTCATTGATTATCACTTTCTTCCCATTCTTTGGATGTCAGAGACCTGTTATTTGGCTTAAAAATACCTTACAGAAAACTTGATTTCTTTAAATTAGAATTTCTTAGGTAAGGGCCAGGTGAGACCCAGCCTTTTCTGAGTTACTTCTCATACATTAAAATTCTTATAATGGAAGTTTGCATCCTAGTGGACATCGTCTTATGATTGGCTTTTAGAGCAAGTCAGAGGGTGGTGGTTTCTCTGTCTGGGTGATGCCTATGTAGTTATTTGATTTAGTCTGGAGTGCGACTTTTCTGTTGAGGGCCAGATAGTAAATATTTTTGGCTTTGTGGATCATATCTTTTACAGCTACTTAGCTCTGCAGTTGTAGTGCACAGGCAGCCATAGACAAAATGTAAATGAATTAATGTGGCTATGTTCCAATAAAACTTTAGTTACAAACACAGGTGATGGGCGGGATTTTGCCCGTGGCCAGTTGCCAACCCCTAGTGTAAGTGGTCTGTTTTGGTAGTTTCTTTGAAAAATGATGTGTTCTGTTTGTAGGTACTGATGCTTATAGATGCCAGCTTTGGGTTCGAAATGGAAACATTTGAATTTCTAAACATCTGTCAAGTACATGGCTTTCCTAAAATTATGGGAGTTCTCACCCACCTCGACTCCTTCAAGCATAATAAGCAACTGAAGAAAACAAAGAAGCGATTAAAACACAGGTTCTGGACAGAAGTTTACCCGGTAAGAGGAGAAATGATTGTTGGATACTAGCAGTATAATCCTTTTAAAATAGACTGAAGAGGCCCGGCGCAGTGGCTAACACTTGTAATCCCAGCACTTTGCAAGGCAGAGGCGGTCAGATCACTTGAGCCTAGAGTTTTGAGCTCAGGGCAACATGACCAAGCCCCATCTGTACTAAAAATGCAAAAATTAGCCGGGTGTGGTGGTGTGTGCCTGTAATCCCGGCTACTCAGGAGGCTGAGAAGTGAGAATTGCTTGAACCTAGGAGGCAGAGGGTGCAGTGAGCTGAGATCACGCCATTGCACTCCAGCCTGGGTGACAGAGTGAGACTCTTGTCTCAAAAAAATAAGTAAGTAAAAATACTGAAGAGACATTACTAAACGTCTCTCTAGGATTCGCCTCCTGAATTCCGTTTGTGTATGTTCACAGTCCCTGGCCTCCTGAATTCCTTTGTGTGTGTGTGTGTTCACACTCTATGGCCTGCTGAATTCCTTTGTGTGTGTGTTCAGCCTCTGGCCTGCTGAATTCTTTTGTGTGTGTGTTCAGTCTCTGGCCTGCTGAATTCCTTTGTGTGTGTGTTCAGTCTCTGGCCTGCTGAATTCTTTTGTGTGTGTGTTCAGTCTCTGGCCTGCTGAATTCCTTTGTGTATGTGTTCAGTCTCTGGCCTGCTGAATTCCTTTGTGTGTGTGTTCAGTCTTCTGGAAGGTTTCCCTCAAGAGAGTGCTTGTTCTGGGCCTCTTGGTGTATCTCATTTGTCTCTGTACCTGCTGCGCCAGGCAGTGTCTGGCTGTTTTGGGGTCGGGACTTTATATAATAGAGTACATCAGAAATTTCTCCTAGTTACAGGACCAGGCACTGCCCCTTCCTTTCTATACTGTTCTGGTCCATCGGCCACAGAACCGTTTCTGTGCTCAGACGCCTCACCTCCCTCTCCTCACCATACTTAGATGGATGCCCCGGCTCAACTGCAGAGCAGTCTGCCTCTGTGGGGTTCTAATAAGTCCTGAAAGAAGCCAGCAAGGCCCTGGAAGCCTCAGGACAGTGGCTTTGCTGGAAGTCTCCCTTCTTAGGATTGCTTCTTGTTTCGAACTTTTATTTTGTTGCAGTATTGATGAGAATTTAATTGAAATTTAATTTTTAATTTTGCTTTAATGTTTAGGGTGCCAAGCTGTTCTACCTTTCTGGAATGGTGCATGGAGAATATCAAAACCAAGAAATCCACAATCTGGGCCGTTTTATTACAGTTATGAAGTTTAGGCCTCTCACATGGCAAACTTCTCACCCTTATGTCCTGGCAGACAGGTAAAAAGTGATTGTACATTTTTTCTTCTTGGGCCATTTATTTCAAAGCTAAAAAGGCTAGAAAAAGAACAGTGATAGGATTTATTTTGTGCCTGTTTGAATAGTGGGGGTAGAAGTGTAGTTGATGGAAAATGTCTACTTATATCATTGCTCAAAGATGCTGTGCCTTTGGGAGTAAATTAATTATGAGATGTTTAGGAAAATGGGAGGACTTGGAAGCATTTAAGGCTACATCCTACGTTCAGCCTCAGTTTTGAGTGATGCTGCCTTCGTGCCCGGGTGCTTGAGTCCTTCGTGTGTGCCTTCACGGCCTTCAGTTTCCTTCCTTTGTGCTCTTCCTCATGTGGTTTTCTCAGCCTGGAATACCCTTTTTCCACCTGCCAGAATCCAAGCCACAGTAAAAATCCCAGAGCACAGGCTCACTCTCTTCCAGCAAGGGATTTTCTGAATATGTTCTTCACTCTTCCCCGACCCCAGGTGGATGTCATCTCCCTGTCTGGTGTCTTCTGGAATGAATGTCACTTTCAGCCTAGAGACACAGTTGTGTGCCTGCCCGTTTTCCTCTGGTGGATGGGGAATGGTGCTTCTTTATTTTTGCATTTTCTAGTTTTCTAAATGATGTGCTTAGTGGACAATAGTGTGATGAGTCATTGACACCTGAAAGGAGGTATAGGAACTTTGGCATTCATTTCTGCTGCATGATTGAGTTTATTTTTCTAGGATGGAAGATTTGACAAACCCAGAGGATATCCGAACAAACATCAAATGTGACCGGAAGGTGTCACTTTATGGTTATTTAAGAGGAGCACACTTGAAAAATAAAAGCCAAATTCACATGCCAGGTATTCTCTTGTAGTACATACTAGAATTACACATAGGATTCTTGGGATGACTTCATTTCTCAGGAAAACCGAAAAATGACCAAACAAGGGAAGATGGCCTCGCTGGAGGTTTTTAAAGTAACCCAGATGTGTGTAGGCCTGCAAAGGTGTTATCAAATCCCCTCTTCTCTGACCTCTTGTCTTGTAGCTAGAGGGCCACTGTTCCAGTGTGGCACAATGCCCTTCTTTAGTGTCATGGGTTAAGCCCTTGGACTATGGCTCGTTTTTAACCCCCCAGTCAACAGTAGATACTTCTGACTTCTTGTCAGCTGAAGCTTGCTTTTGGATCCTGTCTTCCAGGGGTAGGAGATTTTGCTGTGAGTGACATCAGTTTCCTCCCAGACCCTTGTGCTCTTCCTGAACAACAAAAGAAGCGCTGTTTAAATGAGAAGGAGAAGCTGGTTTATGCGCCTCTTTCTGGAGTTGGGGGTGTGCTGTATGACAAAGACGCTGTCTATGTTGACCTTGGTGGCAGCCACGGTTTTCAGGTATCGGTGAGATGGGCGTCATTTCTCTGAACTCTCATTATTCTTTCCTGAGTCTATTTTTAATCCACAAAAATAATGTAGTCAGCTTTTATTTATTGAAGATTTTTCTCTTGTACTTATAATAAAGGCCCAAATGCATATTGTAAATATATAGGATAAAAAAATACTTTTTTTTCATTGTACCAAGCAGAAGAGTCCTGTCCTCCATTCCTCCTTGATCCATGGCCCCAGCGCGGGCCCTGCTGCCATGTGGTGCCTGCATGGCCCATCCCCATTTCTACAAAATCAGTGTGCTTGCCAGCTCTCATTGGTCTTTTTCTCATTCACAATGGTCTCCTCATTCTGTATTTAGTGGATTCAAGTATTAATTTCTTAGTTTGAGTGGATTTTATTGGTTAAAATTAATTTTTTTTTTTTTTTATTTTTTTTTTTTTTTTGAGACGAGTCTCGCTGTTCTCCAGGCTGGATGCAGTGGCTGATCTCGGTCACTGAAGCTCCGCCTCCCGGGTTCACGCCATTCTCCTGCCTCAGCCTCCCAAGTAGCTGAGACTACAGGCCCGCCACCGCCGGCTAGTTTTTGTTTTTAGTAGAGATGGGTTCACCATTTAGCCAGGATAGTCTCGATCTCCTCCTCGGACCACCCGCCTCGCCCCAAGGCGGATTACAGGCTTGAGCCACCGCGCCCGCCAAATTAGGTTATTTTAATGTTAGAAGAGCTAGCATTGTTGTAGCATGGAGCTGAGGTTTTCTACCTAGGTGTTTAGGTTATCAGGTTACATACTCCCTGAACTTTGGAAAAGTTTAATGGAGATGGGGATCCATTTTAAGCTTTGTTGTAAGGATTTTCTTCTCTGCTTTTTGAGGCATTGAGAAAGGTTCTTAGGAAATGTGTCTAAGATAATTTTGAGAAACTGAATGAAACCAGTGTCTCTCCAGGATCTTTGTGCTTTTCTCACATGCTCTTTCTTGGTTGTCTTGACAGGACGAGGTGGGGCCCACCCATGAGCTGGTCCAGAGTCTCATCTCCACCATCTCCACCATTGATGCCAAGATGGCTTCAAGTCGAGTGACACTGTTTTCTGATTCCAAGCCACTTGGGTCAGAAGATATAGATAATCAAGGGTAAGTCTGCTTTTTTTCTATTTTTAATAAAAAGATGTATTACAGAAGATCATATCACCCATAATTCAGCCATCATAACACATTTTGGTGGGATTCATTCTATGTTGTTTTGTTTTTCTTTGTGTGTGCATGTCTCTGAGGGCTCTTCACTTACCTGACATTACAGGGGAGTCTTTTCTTGAAATAAAATACAGGATGCATTTTTCAACAGACCCCAAATATTCCTCAAATACCACGCCATCTTCCATAGGTTGCCTTTGGTTTTTTAAGAGACGTGAGGCCACTTGGCTTTCTTTTGGTGGCCAAAACACTAGAGCAGAGTCAAGGAGTTTGTGGCTGTCCAGAAGCCACATGCCTTGTCTCTGAAAGTTTTATTTAGATTATGCTGTATTATCTCCCATGGGTAGGTTTCCATGGACGTATGGCTTATGTGAATTATTTTTCAGTCTGGGTTGGGAATTTGTATACCTTTATACATAGTCGATGTTTGCAAAACATTGGTTTTGTTGTATTGATTTATGACTCCCAGTAAAATTTATCTGAAAATTTTGAGATTATCTAGTTTGTAATTTGTTACAATGTGCATAAACTACCTAGCAGAATGCCTGACAGATACGAAGTGTTCGCCGAAAGATCACTCCTTTATAATGAAGTTACTAGCGATTTTCATTTTTGTATATCCTTCTAGTCATCTTTATCTATAAGAATACTCTATTCTACTATAGTTACAGTTAAAATACATAATTTTATTTCTATATTCTGAGCATTTCCTTTTTCTGTACAGTCTTTATGTAGTCACCATTTTGTTATTATTGGTGTATTCTTTTTTGTGTGTGTGACAAGATCTTGCTTTGTCTCCCAGGCTAGAGTGCAGTGGTATGATCTGGGCTCACTTCAGCCTTGAACTCCCAGGCTCAAGTGGTCCTCCCGCTTCAGCCCCCCAAGTAGCTGGGACTACAGGAGTGCGCCACCACTCCCAGCTAATTTTTTTTTTTTCTAGAGATTAGGTCTCACTGTGTTTCCCAGGCTGGTCTTGAACTCCTGGGCTCAAGCAATCCTCCTGCCTTAGCCTCCCAAAGTCCTGGGATTACAGATGTGAGGCACTATGCCTGGCCTATTATTGCTATATTCTAACTTATCCATCTCTTTTGGTGTGATTTTCAGTTTTTTCAAATTTATGTTTTCATAATTTTATATATCTTGCTACATTAAATAGCTTCATACAGTTTTATACTGTGATTTTAGCCTCCTGATGATTCTTCTCTATCAGATATGACACTGGTGACTTAAAATGGATGTTCTTCCTCTGTCATTCCTCCTACATTTGTTAGCTGGCATTTTTAACAAAGAGCTTTCACTTCTCCCCTTTATTTCCGTATCACTGCTGACTAATGCACTTGCGTTTTGTTCCATGGGTTATTTTCCATCACTATCATTATTCTTCCTGATGCCTATGCTGTCCCAGATTTGGCCGCAGGAGCCTTCAGCCTGTCTCCTGTGTCCTTTCAACTGTCTCTGTTAGTCTTTGAGCATTTCTTACTTTCTGACAGAACAAGAGGATCCAGGCTCATTTTGCCCTCTTTCTGCCTTGGGCCTGGACTCAGCCATTGCTCTTAAGGATCATGTATTTTTAGCTTAGAAATTAATCAGCTTTCAAAAAAATCTACAAAACACTAACTTCCCTTTTGAGCAATTTTTTTCTAAAATTAGATTTTTGTTTTTTAAGGGTTATTCCTTTATTCTCTCTCTAAGTTTTTTTGAAGTGTGGTGTTAGGGAACCATGTCCGAGTTTGCTTATTAATTCTTCCAATGTTTATCAGATCATTTTTTCCCTATGCTATGTCATCTTAAACAATTCCTTGACATTTTCTGTTTCTTTGTATTTTTCATTGACTGTATTGCCATTTGTAGATTAGCTGATTAATGTACAAATTGAATTATTTTGTATTTCCTTGGTAATACAGGCTATTGATGCCAAAGGAGGAAAAACAAATGGACTTAAAAACTGGGCGAATGCGTCGGAAAGCCATTTTTGGAGATGAAGATGAATCTGGAGATAGTGATGATGAAGAAAATGATGAAATATCCGAAGATGACGAGTTGGAAAACGGCTCTAGTGATGAGGAAGCAGAAGAGGAGGAAAATGCTGAGATGACTGATCAGTACATGGCTGGTAAGGGCGTCAAATGATGGAAACTTGAAGAGTTGGAAGAAGACAGTGAAATGGATTTGCCAGCATTTGCTGACAGTGATGATGACCTTGAGAGGAGCTCAGCGGAAGAAGGGGAAGCAGAGGAAGCTGATGAAAGCAGTGAAGAAGAGGACTGCACTGCAGGAGAGGGGGGCATTTCAGGATCAAAGGCTGTTGGAGAAGGTAGTAAAGCAGGGCTGTCGCCAGCTAATCGCCAGAGTGACCGTGTGAATCTGGAGAAGTCTTTGCTGATGAAGAAAGCAGCTCTCCCCACTTCCGATTCTGGGCATTGCACAGCTGAAGAGGCGTTTGCATCTGAAGATGAATCTGAAGAAAGCTCCTCACTCGTTGCAGAGGAAGAGGACTCAGAAAATGAAGAGGCTATTAGAAAAAAGCTTTCAAAGCCTTCTCAAGTGAGCAGTGGTCAGAAACTGGGGCCAAGGAACTTAATTGATGAGACCAGTGATATAGAAGATTTACTCAAAGAGGAAGAAGATTACAAGGAAGAAAATAATGATTCCAAAGAAACCTCAGGTAAGCTTAAATTTAGTTGGTTGCTGCTATCAACTTGGCTCTCGAAATGGTACCCAATGGAATGTCTCCATTTGGGGGTCTGTTGATTCTGTGATTTTGTTAACTGTTGAAATGCTGCATTGTGGATGGATCTTGAGGGAGGGGAGGCATGTAAACAAGCCTAACTGGAGGTTGGCTTTGGTCGTTTCAGGTGCCCTCAAGTGGAAGGAAGACCTTTCCAGAAAGGCAGCTGAGGCCTTTCTGAGGCAGCAGCAAGCAGCTCCAAACCTCCGAAAGCTTATTTATGGGACAGGTAAAGAATTCTGGCTCAGAGCTGGAAATGTTTTAGTTTCTCTGATTATTTAGATGAGGGAATTGGTTGGAGGATTGGGCTGGTATTGTTGACATCCATAATTGCTGTCCATCACATTTCATGTTTGACGGATGTCTCTAATCATCAGCTTATGAGGACTACACATTGGTCTTATAAAGTAGACTTAATGGGTTTGCTGTAAAACTTGATGCAAATGCTGTCCATTGCATTATGTTATGTTCCCTATTTAAAAGTCCTTCATGAGAATTTTTTTGTAGATTAGTGCCAAAAAAATATTTCTGCCCATAAAAATATTTACTTTTTTGCTTTCTGAGAATTAGAACACTGTATAACACATTTTGTTCTCCCTTTTGCCCTTGTCCTCTGATTTTATGCTTTACTAAACTTACCTATATATTCTTTCTGGTAGAATTAATGCAAAAATAAATATATAGTGATGAACTTTACATTGTACTCCCTGGTTACTGCATGGGGAGATCAAGGCCACATGGTGAGACTTTTGGGCTCAGCCCAGTGAATTGGGAAGATTGTTGTATACTGTTTTTCATTCAGGTTTTGTCTAGGTACTCTTAGTGATGAGAGGCTCAATATTCTTTAGCGCTCTTCTTTAGTAATCTAAAGCTCAGCCTTTAAATGTCCCTTCCCTCCCTCCACCGCCAATATTCTCACTCCTTCTCAGCCTCTTAGCTGCTGCTGTGCAGGAGCGCAGGAGCCCCACACATGTACAGCAATAGCTTCCTGGCTCTCTTAATCTGTGACTGCCCTGCCCTCTCAATGCCTAACTCATATGTGGCTATTGCCATACCCATCACAGACAGAGGCCCTCAGTTCCTGAGTTCGAAGACTCATGGCCTAACTGGTTAAAAATGATGGGTCTTCTAGGGCTGTAGTTTTTGTTCTCACTTTTCTACCATGGTGTCCTCTTTAGTGGCAGAAGATAATGAAGAAGAAGATGGTGATACCCAAGAAGAGCTTGGAGGGTTGTTTCGTGTCAACCAGCCTGACAGAGAGTGTAAGCATAAGGCTGACTCTTTGGACTGTTCTAGATTTCTTGTGGAGGCCCCCCATGACTGGGATTTAGAGGAGGTAAGGCTGGGTAGTACATTTGATTTATTAGAGAATTAGAGAATTGTTCTAGAATAAGATTATCTGATGTCAATATTGCTTACCTGTTGTTGGCTTCTCATTTTTACAGGATTACAGGTCATTCTTCCAGATATTGCAGTGGGCACTTCATGCATCCTAAACAGTAACATGTTCTGAGTTTAGTTAGACCATGTACGTGGCCCACGGAGGACAGGTTCAGCTTCCAGTGTGGACAGTAGTGTGCATCTTTATTTTGAAGCATCACACATAAGTTTTTATACATCAGATGTATTTTGTGTCTTATCACTAGGATATACGTAGCACCCTTGAGTTAACATTTATAGTTCCTGCTGTTTGTAAGCATAGAGAAATCTGTGATACCTGTAAATGTTCTTCCTGCAGCTCACCACTTTGTAATCACACTGGAATTCATTCAGTACTCAAACTCACCACAGCTCACCCTCCTCTGAGACCTCTTCTCTTTCTCTCTCTCTCTTTTTGAGATATGGTCTTGTTCGGCAGCCCAGGCTGGAGTGTAGTGGCACAAGTGTATGACTCAATGCAGCCGCAGCCTCCTGGGCTCAAGAGATCTTCCCATCTCAGCCTCCAGAGTAGCTGGGACTATAGGCATGAGCCACCAGGCCTGATTAATTTTTGCATTTTTTGTAGAGATAATGTTTCACCATGTTGAGCTACTTTCGAACTCTGGGTTCGCGTGATCTTCCTGCCTTGGAACCTCCCAGAGTGCTGGGATTACAGGAGTGAACCATCACGCCAGCCCCTTTCTCTGTATTCCCTTCTGGAATATTCTGATCTTCCAAAGGCTGCCTTCTCTTTTGTCAATTCAGTTTGGCTTAGATGTCACTTCTCACAGAGGCCCAATTGCTATCATACTGCCTATTGTAATTCGCCAGATAACACTTAGTGCACTTTATGAGATTTTATTTAACCATTTTTTATGGTGAAATTTAATACAGATATAGAAAACCACGTAAAAACAATTGTTTAGCTTAATGGGTTGCCAGAAGGTGAATACCCCTGTACTCAACACTCAGGCTGGGAAATCAAGCTTTGCTGCTCAATTGTGACACCAGCCACAGTCCCCTTCCTCCCTGTAGAAGGAGGTGTGGTCCAGCCTCTTAAGGTGATGCTTTCCTTTTCTTCCTGGTTTCTTCCTCCATGCTTCTATAAGCATCACAGTTTACTTTTACCTGATTTTCCTTACTGTTTTTCAGTCTTATCTTTTAACATTTTTAGTGAACAGTCTTTCCTTCCCATTTCTTTTTTTGGTTACATTTTATTTAATAAACCAAGTCTTTGGTCTGTAGAGTTTCTTGTATTCTGGACTTTGTGGATTGCTTTGCATCCCTCTGCAGTTTCACAGGCCCTCCTGTATTTCCTGTGAGTGGGTACTGAGCAATACTAATAGAACTTCTGTGATGAGCGGAATGTATATCTGAGCTGTGGGTTGTGGCTACTTGTGGCTACTAAGCTCTTTAAATGTGGCTAATGAGACTGGAGAACTAAATTTTAAATTTTATTTAATCTTTGTTAAGATTAATTTAAATAGCCACGTATTTGTAGTTACCCTGTAGACAAAACATCTAGTGGTTGGACAGGATTTAAATTTGATTTTTATTTTTCAGCAAAACTGCTTCCTAAGTGGTGGTGTTTTCTCATTAGGAGGCGCATAAAGACTGGTTGTGTCCTTTTAATGATGTTAGATGTTATCAGTTGTTGGTGCTCAATGCCTAGAACCATCAATTTCTTAAGAACGTAGAGTGGTGATGTTCTATTCAATCATTTCTCTTTATGTATTAGCTGTAATACTTTAAAGAGAAACTTTTCCTCTTCTACTATTTGGTTATTCACTTCCATGTATGTAGGGTAAATGCTTGATTTTTTTTTTTTTTTTTTTTTTTGAGACGGAGTTTCGCTCTGTCACCCAGGCTGGAGTGCAGTGACACGATCTTGGCTCACTGCAAGCTCTGCCTCCCAGGTTCATGCCATTCTTCTGCCTCAGCCTCCCAAGTAGCTGGCCCTACAGGCTCCCGCCACCATGCCTGGCTAATTTTTTTTGTATATTTAGTAGAGATGGCGTTTCACCATGTTGGTCAGGCTGGCCTCAAACTCCTGACTTTGTGATCCACCTGCCTTGGTCTCCCAAAGTGCTGGGATTACAGGAGTGAGCCACTGCTCCCAGCCCATGCTTGATTTTTTAATCAGTTTTTGGAGTGATTCTCCAAAGGATACTTGTTTGTGAGTATCACTGTGATGTCATGGATATAAATGTAGTTGATGTGCCTTGTGCTCCTGCACCTGTTATCCGTTATTGAAGCTCCTCTTTATCCCACCTGTGGCCTGTGAGCGTCTGTGCACACCAGCTCCTGAGTCCTTGTGTTACAATCGTAGTCGTTCTGGATCAATTCTTGCTCTGTGATATGAGAGAGCACTTGGAATCACCCATAAGAAGTCCTGATTTCTTTTAGTACAAAATGGTATTTCAACATGACAGCCTAGGCATAGGAATGCTTACTGCCATGAGTTGGTCATTACTTCTAGGCCTTCTCAGCTACCCGAACCAGGAGAGTTCTTATAGATATTTCCAGTTCACATTCAGGACTACATCCTATTCATTCTTCCACTGGAGAATTATTCCCTGGTTGAATCAGAAGATGATGAAATTAGAGAATCGCATAATTATTCATTTGCTTTATACTCTCTCATTTCTCTTTTCAAAAGTGACTGTGCCATTTTACTTACTCACTGGCACTGTATGTGGGTTCCAGTTTCACCACTTCTTCACCAGCACTTGTTATTATCTGTCTTTTTGATTATAGCCATCCTAGAGAGGGTGAAATTGTGTCTCATAGTATTGACTTGCATTTCCCTGATAATGATGTTGAACATCTTTTCATGTGCTTATTGGCTATTTGTATATATTCTTCATATTGTTTGCCCATTTCAAAAATTAAATTACTTAGTTGTATGCGTTGTTTATATATTCTGGATATAAGTCCCTTATCAGATACATAATTTACAAATATCTTCTCCCATTTTATAGGAATTAAGTTTTCAAACAGACAGGTTTAGATTAACAAATAGCAAGACCAACTTTGTAAACTACTGTCTCATTAGTTTCTAAGGCATCGCCTTAGAAACCTTAATACAATTGAAAATTAGTTGAATTAGTAATTATCTGTTTGTTTACTTACGAGGTTAGTAGACTAGTAGTATTTAATACTTTCCCTATCTGCTGCTTAATGTGTTTTATCTCTGTGGTTATACTGTCTCCATCAAAGGTAAAGTTATTTCCTGGGCTCCTTTGGAATGAGAATATTCATGAAGGTGGGAAATATTTAAAGGCAAGTCGTTGCCTACTGCCATTTCTTAGAGTTGTTTTGCTGAGTGATTGGAACATCTCACCTAAGTGCTGACTTTTCTGCGTAAGGTTATGAACAGTATCAGAGATTGCTTCGTGACTGGAAAGTGGGAAGATGATAAAGATGCAGCCAAGGTCTTAGCAGAAGATGGTAAGTGAAGAGCTGGGTTCTTCAGGAAGACTGGCTTCTCTAAACTTTATTTTCTTCTGTATCTTAGACAATAGTCAAATTGAAAATCATAGTCACTTGTGAAATGCTTTGGGGAATTCAGACAGGAGTAATGAGCCAGGTAATATTCCGGATTTTCCTTTTATGATGATCTTATTTTCTCAGTTGGCTAACTGATTTACTACGTATGGACCTTAAAAGTGAGAAACTTTCCATAAATTTTAATCATGTGTTTGTTAAAAATAGATTTTGTGTGATGTGAAAAATACATACAAATGGCATTTATGTTTTTCTTTTCATAATAAAGGTAGTATGCATTGTAGAAAATTTAGAATGAAAAGTACATAACATACCAGAATTCTACTAACCCATAAAAAACCTTTGTTAACCTCTTCAATAGTTTCCTTCTAGTCATTTAAAAATCATATGTATAAACCTTTTTAGTTGTACTTTATATAATTTTTGGCAGGAGGATTGCTTAAGTGATGTACTTTATATAAATTTTGTCATTAAATTTTTTCAAAGATTTCATATTTATTATTTAAATATCATACCATTATTGAAGTCGTAATTTTTTCAATATCTAAGTAGTTTTGTACTTTGCTCATTTTATAGAGAACTCCACACTGAACAACTTTGAAATAATTCTTGGCTCATGCTTTTTATTTTCATAAGATAGATTCATAAGTGTTAGAATTGAGTCATTTTTATGGATTACAACTGCCACATGGTTTCTTGGAATGTCATTCTTTTTGTTTTGTCTTGAGACAGGATCTCGCTCTGTTACCCAGGCTGGAGTGCTTTGGTGTGGTCATGGCCCACTGCAACCTCAGCGTCACAGACCCAAGCCTCCTGAGTAGCTAGGACTACAGGCTTGCATCACTACACCCAGCTAATTTTAAATTTTTTTGTATAGACAGTCTTTTTATGTTGCCCAGGCTGGTCTCAAACTCCTGGGCTTAAGAGATCCTCCTGCCTCAGCCTCCTAAGTAGCTTGAACCACAAATGTATACCACCATGCCTGGCTAATTTTTAAATAGTTCGTACAGATGGGAGTCTTGCCATGTTGCCTAGGCTGGCCTTGAATTCCTGGGCTTAAGCAATCCTCGCACCTTACCTCGCACCTTAGCCTTCCAAAGTGCTGGGATTATAGGCATGAGCCACTGTGACTAGTCTGTAGTATGTGAATGTATTCTTTATATATATATATATATATATATTTTGTCTGGGCTTTCAGGTTAATATCATTGATCTCTGTTGGTTCATTTATTATTACTATAATTTAGTACTCTATGTAGCTTTATCATGTTATTAAGACCCCAGTTATTAAAACTGTGTCTCAACAGTTTCTTTCTCTTTTTATTCTGCTAGGGGCTTTTTTAAGCATTCTCCTGACTATTCTCACTTGCTTATTGTTTTTTCCACAGGAACTTGAGAATCGTCTTTTGTTTTCAAAAGAAAGTGTGGTGGGTTTCTTTTTTAATCACTTTAGTGAGGTATAATTGATGGTAAACTACAGTGTTTAAAGTGTACAATTTGATAAACTTTAATATGTGAGTATACCGTCGCCACAATCAAAATAATGAACACATTTATCACCCTCACAGTTTACACCACTGTGTAACCCTCCATCCTGTCCTCTTCCATCGCCAGGTACATTCAGCTGCCTTGTGTCACTATTCAGTAGGTTGTGCCCTTTAGAATTTAATCGAAATGGGATCCTACAATATGTGCTCTTTTCTGTCTGACTTCTTTTACTCAGCATGATTATTTCAAGATTCATCCATGCTGTTGCATCTTTATTTCTTTTTGTTGGCTAATGGGTAGTCCATTGTATGATGTATAGCAATTTATTTATCTGTTAACCTGTTAATAAACAATTATTTCCAGGTTTTGGCTATTATGAGTAAGGCTGCTGTGAACATTTTTGTAGAAGTCTTTATATGAACCACTTTTATTTCTTTTGGGTAAATAAGTAGTTCAGAATGGACTAAATGGGTCATATGATAGGTACACATTTAATTTTTTAAGAAATTACCCAACTGTTTTCTAAAGTGTTTACACCATTTTCCATTGCCACCATAACTTTATGTGACTTCTGGTTGCTTCACTCTTACATCTTTGCCAGTCCCTGGTAGTATCAGTCTTTTTAAATTGTAGGCTTTCTTTTAGGCATAGAGTGGTATCTTGAAGTTTTAGTGACTAATGGTTTCGGGCATTTTTCCATGTGCTTATTTGCCATCTGTGTCTTCTTTGATGAAATATCTGTCCAAATCTTTTGCACATTATTTTAATTGGGTTGAATTCTAAGAAATTTTATGTATTTTTGATACAAATTCTGTATGACATGTGATATGCAATTATTTTTGCCTAGTGTGTGCCTTGTCTTTTCTATTTTTAATAGTGTTTTTCACAGAGCAAAGTATTTAATTTTGGTGTAGGTCAATTTATCAAAACAATTTTTTTTCGGGGGGAATGGAGTCTTGCTCTGTCTCCCAGAGTGCGATGCGATCTCAGCTAACTGCAACCTCTGCCCACTGGGTTCAAGCTGTCCTCCTGCCTCAGCCTCCCAAGTAGCTGGGATTACAGGCGCCCGCCATCATGCCTGCCTAATTTTTGTATTTTTAGTAGAGATGGGGTTTCGCCATATTGGTCAGGTTGGTCTTGAACTCCTGACCTCAGGTGATCCACCCGCCTCAGCCTCCCAAAGTGCTGGGATTACAGGCATGAGCCACTATGCCCTGCCCAAAATTTTCTCTTATGGACTGTGCTTTTGATAGTGTATGAAAGAAATCGTTGCCTCACCCAACGTCACAAATTGTCTCATATATTCTATAAGTCTTATAGTTTCAGGTTTTACATTTAGGTCTATAATTCTTTTTGAGTTAATTTTTTATAGGGTGTTAGGTATGGATTTAGGTTCCTTTTGACATATTGATATCCACTTTTCCCAGCACCTTCTGCTGATAAACTATTTTTTTCCCTATTGAATTGCCCTGTATTGGTTGGCCATATTATGGGTGCATATTTCTGGGCTCTCTGTTCTGTTCCATTGATATATTTGTTTATTTTTATACCAATACCAACACTGTCTCTGTTACTTACAGCTTTATAATTAGTCTTGGAATTGGGTAGTTTTTAACTTTAGGTAGTTTTTCAAACTTTAGTCTCCTTTTCAAAATTGTTTTGGTTAATCTAGGTTCTTTGCATTTTCATATAAATTTTAAGATGAACATGTCAATTGCTATAAAAAAGCCCACTGCAATTTTGATTGGGATTTCATGGAACTTGTAAACAATTTGGGAAAATTGACATCTTAACCACATTGAGTTTTCTGATCTATGAACATAGTAACTCTCCATTTATCTTGTTCTTTACTTTCTCTCAGCAAGGTTTTCAGGATTCAGGTCTTATATCACTGTCAGCAATTTATTTTCATATCTACTTGTGTTTATGTATGGCTAATATATAAGAAATGCAGTTGATTTTTTTATATTGGTCTTGTATCCTGCAATCTTGCTAAATTACTTGTTAGTTCTTTTTTTTTTTTTTTTTGAGACAGAGTCTCATTCTGTCACCCAGGCTGGAGTGCAGTGGCATGATCTCAGCTCACCGCAGCCTCTGCCTTCCAGGTTCAAGCAATTCTCATGCCCCAGCCTCGCGAGTAGCCGAGATTACAGGCAGCCACTACCATGCCCGGCTAGTTTTTTTATTTTTAGTAGAGACGGGGTTTTACCACGTTGGCCAGGCTAGTCTCAAACTCCTGACCTCAAGTGTGTGGAGGGGAGGGGTAAACTTTGACTAAACAATATTCATGGTTTTCTAAGTAAATACTTCTTACTACCCCAAGGATTCTTTTCTTTTATGCTGCTTTTTCTCCTGTTCTGCCTGGGCTTCCAAGTTCTGCTTTGACCTTTCACCCTGGTCCAATCTCATATGGTTCCCCCAGTTTCTGTGCGGGATGGTTCTGGGAGCCAAGCAGGATTCTCGTTATCTACAGAAAGGCTGAGATAGATCCCAGTGGTTTTACTTTCTTTCTTTCCTATCTGGATGACTTAATTTTTCTTGCCTTACTGCCCTGGCCTAAACTTCCAGGACAGTGTGGGTTAGAAGTCAAAGTAAACATCCTTGCTTTGTCCTGATTTTGCTTATTTTCCACGTGAACTTAAGAATCGCCTTTTCTGGCTGGGCGCAGTGGCTCACACCTATAATCCTAGTACTTTGGGAGGCTGAGGCGGGCAGATCACGAGGTCAGGAGTTTGAGATCAGCCTGGCCTGGTGAAACCCCATCTCTACTAAAAATACAAAAATTAGCTGAGCATGGTGGCACATGCCTATAATCCTAGCTACTCAGGAGGCTGAGGCAGGAGAATTGCTTGAACCCAGGAGGCGGAGGTTGCAGTGAGCTGAGATCGCACCACTGCAGTCCAGCCTGGGCAACAGTGCGAGACTCCGTCTCAGAAAAAAAAAAAAAGAATCACCTTTTCTATTTCCAAAAGAAAAGTTTGTGGTACGTTTTTTCCTAATTAAACTTTTAAGTTTGAGGTAATTGTAGATTGACATGCACTTGTAAGAACGAATACAGAGAGATCTCCTGTATCTTATACTATAGCACTATCTATATATATGTACTGTGTATACTGTGTGTACTGTAATACAAGGTCACAGCCTGGATGCCAACGTTGATACAATCTGCTGATCCTCTGTAGATTTTTCCAGTTTTGCCTGTGTGTGTGTGTGTTTTACGTTTGTGCGTATATACTTCTGTGCTCTTTTATCACATGTGTAGGTTTGTGTGTCTACCAACAGTTAAGATACAGAGCAGTTCCATCACAAGGATCGCTTGTATTGCTGTTTTATAAACACACCCACGCCCCTGCTGTTTCCCAGCCCCCAGTTCCTTCCCTTGTGAACCATAATGTGTTTTCTGTTTCTACAATTTTGTCATCTTCAAGAATGTTAAATAAACAGAATAATACAGT